ATAATTTCATAGTACTCTGCCACGTGTTTTCAGACTGATGCATATTATAGATGCATAACATTACACAAAAGGTCGATGCATGTAGTCAAACCATCTGCCATAAATATGATGTACAAACTCAAATTTCACGTTTATACCAGTTTATATTGTCATTTACTGTAGCCAACAACAAGGATGTCCATCATCACCAATAAGATCAACTTGACTTTGACATCAACTTTGAATGTCGAACTCAAAACTAATAATTACACCACATTTCTTATTTTTTTATATTCTCTTCTAAAAAGATGATTCAACAAAAATGCAGATAATCTCCTGAAGAAATTCTATTATCTTAAGACTCTTACAACTACCATAAAAAAATTTATTCTAAATAACTATTATTCATTATATTGTATAAATGATTTTCCCAATCACTAGAATTGTCATAATATATAATATATGACACACACAAATAAAATCATTTCAATTAGACTGGGACATATAGTTTTTCTTTCTTCATGTTTTCCATGAAAAAACTTTTGTGTATCACAACAACTATATATTTTTTCACTATATACCCTAGTTCTTTGCACACAATTAAAATATGTTTCTCTCACCATTTCCATGAATATTCCAACACACAACAATTATATTCAATAACATCAGCATACCCTTCAAAATTTCAAACCAGTTGATACCCATAAACCAGCCAAAAAAAGAAAAAAAAAATATCAGCATCGCTATAGATTGTTCTATTTAAGACTACTCCCTTAAATAAGATAAACATGAAGCCATACACAATATATTTATAAATAAAAATTAATATCTGAATAAAAATGGCACCTATTAATTATTATTATCAAGATTCTTAATTTAAAACCAATCAGAAATGTGGTGAAGGCCACCATTGAAGTACCAAGAGTAGGAGAAGTAAACTTCCACTGCACCCACCTTGACCATCTTGATGAGAACTGGAGAATGAAGCAGATAAACTCAATACTTGACCACAACGACGGGCCTCATATTTTGGTTGGAGGACTGAATGCTCTTGATGAAACCGATTACTCTGAAGATAGATGGGCTGATATACTTAAGGTAATTGATTACTTAACAAAAATTTTCAGTATAAACCATAGCTCTATTTGAAATGCATGCAGTATATAATCATAAGAGTTTCTGTTTTCTGCAGTACCATAAAGAGATTGGTAAACCAGAACCAAAGGTTGAAGTGATGAAGTTTCTAAAATCAAAGCATTATGTGGACGCCAAGAATTTTGCTGGAGAATGTGAAGCAGTTGTTGTATTGGCTAAAGGACAGGGTTAGCAATGTTAAAAATAAGTACATATGTAAATATTTATTTGTTTATATTTTTTATAATTCTTCACAAATTTTGCAGATGTGCAAGGGACATGCAAGTATGGTACAAGAGTGGATTACATATTGGCATCACCGACCTCGATGTATAAATTTGTGTCTGGTTCTTATGAAGTTCTTTCATCGAAGGGCACGTCAGATCATCACATTGTGAAGGTTGATGTAGTGATTGATAAAAACGTTAGTGTGAAGGAGGAGAAGAGCAGACAAAGGAAGCAAAGAGATTTAAAGATAGAAACGGATAAATCTAAAGGTTTTTGGAAAAGTAAATTATGATTTGTAATGGATTCATATAAAAGGTTTTGTACATTGCTCTGATATCACTAATAATGTCTATATTGACCTCCACATTTGCTCCTTTTAGCAATGTGATCAAATGCGTCGGAGACAACGAACAACAATTGTCGCACCAAATGAAATTAACTAAACATTGCTCAACCTGCAAAACATTTAGCACATGCATGTCAGGAGCTCTCAAAATAACATAAGGGGATAACTCAATCAACATGAAGGCTATCGTGCTCAATGTCACACAAAACAGAGTTGAATCTCTTTAAAAATGTCTTAGTACAAAATGGAGCATGTCACCATATTTGAGATGTTTAAAGTGCACTTGGAAGGCTTTTCATTGAAGACGATAAACAATGAATGTGACGACTCCCAAATTGATGCCAATTCAGTACAAACACTATCATGACAGCCCAAAAGATGCTCATTTAGTAAAAGGACTTCGTCTTCCCTTATAGAATGTAAAAAACTACCAAAAGAGACTTCTCATAGTCAATTCATGTGATCCTAGTAAAAATAATTAGCTACAAAAGCTATATAAAAATCAGAGCTAAAGTATCTTGTTCAGTGTAAAACTCAATTAAATGTCAACCATCTGCAAAATGGGTTGTGTGCTCTTTCAATATGGGATTAAGACTTTTACATTGATTTGTAAAATGTTTCGTTACAATTTCTTTTCGTCAGTCATGCTGATGCGTGTTAAAAAATTCGTGGCGGTAAAGTAGCAAATTATCGTCTTAGTCTTGTATGAGACTACACTACACATTCAGATAATAAAAGTGAAGTAAGCAGGAGAAAACATCTCTTTTTTTTATGTGAAATGCCCTAAGAAATTGAAAAACCATGAGGCCTAACCCAATTCAAATAATCTACTATGAATGTTGAGTACACATGTTCACTTTTCGCCTGTATCAAGAAAGATGAAGTTACAAAAATAATTATTATAAATGTACAATAATAGTTTATCGATAATAATCATAATTACAATGTAATGAATGTATTTCTCAATGATAGACGGCTGCAAGGGTCATAGTTGATTGCTATGGAGACAGTAGTATATTGTAAATGTTGTAGATGGTAGCCATTGTACAATAATAGTTTATCGATAATAATCATAATTAGAATGTAATGAATGTATTTCTCAATGATAGACGACTGCAAGGGTCATAGTTGATTGCTATGGAGACAATAGTCTATTGTAAATGTTGTAGACGATAGCCACAGCGTCATCTTAATGTATAGACAGTAGTTGAAAGCTATGGTAGTAGTTGGTCATGTGGATTGTAGATAGTTCCTTTAGGATTGTTGTTTGGCCATAGAGGTTGTAGTAGTAGGCTACAGGAGCTGCGAGCCACATTTGTCGCAGTTGGTCACATGGACTCTAGTGCTGAGGTGCGATGATGTCTGTAGTCAGGAATTGCATGAGCTATAAACCACGTAGACCATAGTTGGTCATACAGGTTGTAGTGGCGAGTTGTGATGATGTCCGTAGGCCGTTGAGACTAGATTCAAGAGCTGTGAACCACGTAGGTCGTAGTTGGTCACATACGCCATTATGGTGAGTTATGATGACATTTGTAGACTACAATGGTCGAAGTTGGGAGCTACAAAAGATGCGAACCACACAGGGCATGACGATGAGTTGTGATGACGTTAGTAAGTTGCATGAGCCAAAGTCGGGAGTTGTACAAGCTGTGAACCACATACACTGTAGTTGGTCACATTGGCAGAGTGGTGAGCTGTGACAATACTTGTAGGCCGTAGGGCCTATAGTTGGGAGCTTAATGAGCTGTGAACCATATAGGTCATAGTTGATCACGTTGGTCATTATGGTGAGTTACAATAACGTTTGTAGGTCATAGGAGTCGAAGTCGGGAGTTGCACAAGGTGTGAATCACATACGCTATAGTTGGTCACATTGGTCAGAGTGGTGAGCTGTGAGGGCGCCTGTAGGCCACAAGGGCTGGAGTTGTGAGCTTCATGAACTGTGAATTATGTAAGTCGTAGTTGATCACATAGGTCATTGTGGTTATGGTGAGTTACAATAACGTTTGTAGGTCATAGGGGTCGACGTCAGGAGTTGCACAAGCTGTGAATATAGTTGGTCACATTGGTCAGAGTGGTGAGCTGTGAGGGCGCCTGTAGGCCACAGGGGCTGTAGTTGGGAGCTTCATGAACTGTGAATCATGTAAGTCGTAGTTGATCACATAGGTCATTGTGGTGAGTTACAAAAACGACCGTAGGATACAAGGGCTAGAATTGGGAGTGACACGAGCTGTGAACCACATAGGTTGTGGTTAAGCATGTAGATTGTAGTGTTGAGCTATGATGACTTCCATAGACCTTAGGGGTCGGGGTCAGGAGCTGCACGAAGGGGGCTTTAAGAGTTTGGAGAAAGTCAATCATTTATGAGGGTGAATTGCTACATCATCTTGGGGAGATATCATTGCGTCGTAAGTTGGGTGTAATGTTACTTTGCAATGTACATCTGGGTTCCAAAGTGCATGTTATCACTTCACAAGGGACTTCACTGTAAGGGGCAGGTGGCGGTTGATAATTGTTGGCGATGGATGGTGGCAGGGGCTATCGAAGGCGGCGGGGGTTGGAGGTAATGGAGGCGGCGGCAGCTGGAGTTGGTCGAAGGTGAAGGTGGCAGTTGAAGCGGTCCGATGACAACGACGGGGGCATAAGGCAAAAGTGACGGTGGCGGTTGTGGCAACGACGAAGACAACATCCGTAATTTGACAATTAAAAGGTGATAATACGTGTTGTTTTTCATATGATATTTATAATTATGAAAGTTGTTGCGTGAGATAGGTAAATATAAAAGTTTTGAATGTTTTGTAAATTTTTAATTTTTTGTATGTAAAAGCCCCAAAAAAGTTTTTTTTGTGCCCCAAAAAAAAAAAAAAAAAAACAAAAAAATAAATTCTGAGTGTTTTTGGCTTACAGTAGAGCATTGGCATGTCAAATAGCTGATATTGAATTTACTTAATTCCTAGAAACAAAGATAAAAATTGACCATTAAAAAGTGATAATGAAACAAAATTGTGTCTTGGTTTACAGTAAAGCATTAGCATGTCAAATAGCCGGATTTGAATTTCCCTAATTTGAAGAAACACAGGCGGAACCGGGTGTAGTCCACGGTGGGCAAATGCTCCCAAATCCAAGGTGCAATCAGATGTTCTTCCATTTCTTGAAACAATACGAAGGAAAAGTACGTTTGAGTCTTCATTACTACGTTCAGTAATGAGAAATTGAAGTGTAAAAAGAATTAAGTCGAGAAACCGGCACTAATTCATGGTTTGAGATACGGTAGGTTCAAGCACACAGCAAAATAACATTTTCTAAAGCCTATATTTGATCTGCCTTTAAAAGATTAAAAGAATATGAAGATGTAATAACTCTTAAAAATGACAAACATCTGTCCTATTTATGATATATGAGTCATACCTAACAAATCTTCACCTTGACGAATATCCAACCTATTAGGAGAAATGCAAATACCCAATAAATCTCCATCTTGGTGAATATCCAGCCCCTTAGGAAAAATACATATGTCTAACAAATCTTCACCTTGACGAATATTCAGCCCCTTAGTAGAAGTGCAACATGGAGTTTCTTAAACTGAAAAATCTCCACCTTGACGAATATTCAGCCCCTTAGGAAAAGTGCAACATGGACTTTCTTAAACTGATGTGGGTTGGGCCACCACGCTTCCACTGCGCCCTCGATGATCCCCCCAACTAACTAAGTTCCAAGAGACACAACTCTTCAATTCCAAGAGACATCTCTTTATTCTAAGAAACTCTAAATTCTAGTATTATGAGTCATACCAAACAGTTGCCTATATAGCTGTGTTTATATCTACTGGTTCAAGGGTAGAACTTAGAAGAAGAATGAAGGCTGAGCGAGGGGAAATGATGAGAAGGAACTCGCTTGCTGCACTTCCTCCATTGAGGAACAATTTGTGGAGCTATTTATCGAACTAACTCAATGCAACATAATTTGTATGTTTAAAATGTAATAATAGATTTGAAAAATGTTATTTTTATAAATGAGTGCTTCTTAGAAATATTTAACACATCAATAAATAAGATAGTATTTCACGACAGACATTATGTTGGGAATAGTATTTAAAAAATTGCTAGAATTTGAGTATATTCCGAATTATTAATAATTTTTACAACTCAAAATTATCAATGATAAACACTAAAGCTAATGGCAGTTGGTGCACCTGCCACATGGGTTCAAAGCTCACACAACTGATCGCGTCAATGTGGTATATAAGCTCGTATTGTGATTTATAAAAAGTGGGTATTTAAAACAATAAATGATGTGGGGATAAGTATTATGGAAGAAGAGTCGATGAATGTGAAGCTAAAGGAGCGGATAGAATAGAAATATTTAGGGAAAGGGAACAAGTGTGTTAGGCGTGCGATATATATATATATATATATATATATATAAGAAGATTTATATATTGCAACGATGCCAAAAATTTGATCCTGAATTTTATATGTTAATGCGACGTATGCAATTATAATCTTAATTTTTCCTTACTTATAATTTTTACTTTGCAACGGCGACAAAAACTTGATCACCAATAACATCTAGGTAAAAACATGACTTCAAAGCATATAAGAATACAATTATTATATTTGAATATGAGATATTACACAAATATACGTATTGTTATCAAATAATATATGACTTTTTAATTAAGCCTGGAATATCGAACCACATGGACTACAACAATATGCAACTAAAAATCAGAAGAAATTAGATAACAATTTCTACTTAGAAAAATATTCTTATTCAAACTTTAGATGCTATAATAGGAATGAAAGTTCAATTCTTTTCATAATTTTTTATAATTGACAATAAAGTAAACAACTAACTAAACTTAACTAGATACTTATAAGATGAAGACAATATAAATAAAATATATTTTTCCTGATCACAAATCAATAATAAGTATAGGAATTATGTTGTAAAAGTATTCAAATTGTGGTGTGTCAAATATGAGCAATAATATTCTTTACTCTTATTAGAGATGTTATAAAGAACATTGGCTAATTTAAAGTTTGAATAGTCTTAAAGACGGGTTAGTTAAGGAAGATACTAGCTCTCAGTCTAGAGTTCTCTCTTCTCCCTCCACCTGGGGGCTAACATCAAAACCTAAAACTATAAATCAAATTGCGTGTTTTAGTCTGTCACTCTAAAGTTCTTTAATTACAAACATTTCAAAGTTCATTTCCCTATTTATTTGCACTCAATCATATGAATTACATTCCCATCCATACAATTTCATGTGATTCTCACCATTTGTTGACTGAGACAATACCATCTCGGATCTTACATGTTCTCAATACATGAATTAACATCTTAATTAATCAAATCAAAATGTAAATGAAGTACAAGATTTAAAATCATCACGACTTCTTTCAACATTAAAGACTAATACTTCACACAACTTCCATCCAATACTTAAGCACTTATCAT